CGTATTGAATACTTGAAACAATATTGAATTGTCGTATCCGTGTAGCATAGAAATTAACTAATTAAGAAAACAGAAATATTAAAACTAAATGATTTAATGTTTTTCCGTAAAATAGATATTCAAAGGTATTATTAGTTTGAAAATTGCAGTCCCTGCCAAGAGCCAACTGGACGTGGAAAACTCTAACACAATGACAGGTCGTTGAATTTGACTCAAGTATTATAATAAAATTAAGGGTAAACTACATAGGTGACCATCAAATTATGGTCATAAACTATTTTGACCAATAACGTTTGAAAACATTCAATCATACCATCTAACTATTTAAATGGTTTAATCAAGCTACTGGCTATTAATTTCTTTACATAAGTGATGACGTGACAATTAATAAAATTGACATAATTATATATTTAGTCTTTAATATTTACACATTGTATCAATTTAGTCATTATTTTAATTTAATTAAATATAATCCTCTAATCTGGGGTACTACATTTCACTATATAATTGGAGGGTGAATATAATTAATTTTTAATATGTTAATTAAATAATTTTCTTATCAATCAGGTGATGACATGTAACTTGGGCGTAAATTTGAACCAGGGACTTAATTTGTCCTTAGGTATGCCCTTAGCATTGGGCCAAGCCACTTGTTAGGTTTAAATTTGCACAATATTTTTATATATTGAGTTTAAGTTTATTTCACACACATATATTAAATTATTAAAATAAATTTAATAAATAAATTATATTTCACATATATATTAAATTATAATTAAGATAAGATTTAAAAATAAAAATGAGTTTAATATTTTTATTTTTAAATTAATTATTTTTATTTTTAATTTGGATTCTCTAAATACTTTTAATATAATTTATATATTATTATTTAAGAATAATTGTTTAGAGAATAAATTATATAACTTAAATTATTTTTTTACAATTATTCTTAACTATGGTCATTAACCTTTTGACCACCAACGTTTAAAAACGATCAAACAGATCACCCAACTATTTAAATGGTTCAATCCAACCATTGGTCGTTAATTTTTAATATAGGTGATGACGTGGCCGTTAATAAAATTAACATAATTATATATTTAGTCCTTAATATTTACGCATTCTATCAATTTAGTCACAATTTTAATTCATTAAAAAAAATTTAATCCTCCAATCCAGGGGTGTCACGGGTCACTATATGATTGAAGGGTGAATTTAATTAAATAAAATTTTTAACCAATCAGGTAATGACACATGTCACCACCTATGTAAATAGGTAGGGAAAAGATTTTAGAATAGAAAGTGAGCTTAAGGGTTTCAAACTTCCCCTTGGCTCAATGGATTTGGCTTTGCCACTAGGCTAGGCCATTCAATTAATTTTTAGTTACACAATGTTGTATATGTTGTGTTTAATATTATTTCATATATATAATTATTTATCAATTTATTAAAAAAGTATAATAAATAAATTATATTTCATATATATATATATATATATATATATATATATATATATATATATATAGTTAATGCAAGATTTAAAAATAAAAACAGAGTTTAATATTTTATTTTATTTTTTTACGATCATTTTTAAAATAATAATATATAAATTATATTGAAAAATAAAATTATATTGAAATTATTTAGAGAATCCAAATCACAAAATAAAAATAAGTTAACTTAAATATTAAAAATATTAAAATCTTTTTAAATTAAATTAAATTATTTACAGAAAATGAGTTTAATATTTTAATTTTTAAATTAAATTATTTGTGATTTGGATTCTCTAAATAATTTTTATATAATTTTATTTTTTAATATTATTTATATATTATTATTTTAAAATAATTGTAAATAAATTAAATAAAATAATAAACTTTGTTTTATTTTTTAAATCTTACATTAACTATAATTTAATATATGAAATATAATTTATTTATTAGATTTGTTTTAATAAACTGATATATATATATATATATATATGAAATAATATTAAACACAACATATACAACATTGTGTAACCAAAACCAATTGAATGACGTAGCCCAGTGGCACAGCAATATCCGTTGAGCCAAGGGGTCACCGGTTGGAAAACCTTTAAGCACACTTTCTATTTTAATTTTTTTTATTTAATTAAAATATTAAAATTAATTAAATTCACCCTCCAATCATATAGTGACATGTGGCACCTCCGAATTAGAGGATTAATTTTTTTAATGAATTAAAATAGTGACTAAATTGATAGAATACGTAAATATTAAGGACTAAATATATAATTATGTCAATTTTATTAACGGTCACATCATCACCTATGTTAAAAATTAATTGCTAGTGGTTGGATTGAACCAATTAAATAGTTGGGTGGTCTGTTTGATCGCTTTAAACGTTGGTGGTCAAAATAGTTAATGACTATAGTTCGGTGGTCACCCATATAATTTACCCTAAATAATAATATATAAATTATATTAAAATTATTTAGAGAATCCAAATCCAAATCCAAATAAAAAAATAAATTTAAAAATAAAAATATTAAACTCATTTTATTTTTAAGTCTTACATTAACTAATATATATGAAAATATATTTTATTTATTATATTTGTTTTAATAATTTAATGTATATGTGTGTGTGAAAGAGAGAAATAAACTCAAACATAGTATATAAAATATTGTGCGAATTAAAATCAAATGAGTGGCTTGGTCTAGTGATAAGGGCATGCTCAGGGGTCACTGGTTGGAAACCCCTTAAGCTTACTTTTTATTCCAAAATTTTTTATTTAATTAAAATATTAAAATTAATTAAATTCACCTTCCAATCATATAGTGACGGTGGCACCTCCAAATTGGAGGATTAATTTTTTTGAGTGAATTAAAATAGTGGCTAAATTGATAGAATGCATAAATATTAAGGACTAAATATATAATTATGCCAATTTTATTAACGATCACATCATCACCTATGTTAAAAATTAACTGCTAGTGGTTGGATTGAACTATTTAAATAGTTGGGTGGTATGTTTGATTGCTTTAAACATTGGTGGTGAAAATGGTTAATGACCATAGTTCGGTGGTCACCCTTGCAGTTTACCCTAAATAATAATATATAAATTATATTAAAATTATTTAGAGAATCCAAATTCAAATATAAAAAAATAAAATAATTTAATTTAAAAATAAAAATATTAAACTCATTTTATTTTTAAGTCTTACATTAATTATAATTTAATATATATGAAATATATTTTATTTATTATATTTGTTTTAATAATTTAAAATATATGTGTGTGAAAGAGAGAAATAAACTCAAATATAATATATAAAATATCATCATCTCTTTTAACAATTAACAACTAGTGGCTTGATTAAATTATTTAAATAATTAGGTGGTCTGATTGACCGTTTTTAAACATTGTTGGTCAAAATGATTTATAGTCGTAGTTCGGTGGTCACACGTGTAGTTTACCCTAAAATTAAATAAAAATGTCACAATTTTCTGCACCGAAAACGGAGGAGTAGGCGGTTCGGAGTCGGTGAGCATTGACCAAACCGGGTGCCGTGTCCAACTCGTTGAGTCCAAAGAATAAGCAAAATAAAAAAGAAAATTGTAAATAAATAATGTAAAGTGTCTGCGTTTTCTTTTCGCTTTTAATATTCATTTTAAAATTAAATTAAATTAAAATTCAAAAGGTAATAGGGTTGTAGTTGGGTGATACCTAACTCACTAAATTCTAATAAAAGGGGTATTGTTTTCAACTTTCAAGCCTTCATATTTTGACGAAAACCCATCCATTGTATAGATAACGCAAGAGTAATTTCTGAACTGTCTTTCCCATTCTATTTTTTAAAATAAAAAGGAGGAAATATTCAATACGAAATTGAAATATCATTTTCTCCGACCAACAAAAATATTAATTGTGAGAGTGACTTAAGCGATCAAAATTTAGATATAATATAAAGTTTAAAAAATTGACGCTAGTTGTGAACGGGTCTAGTCAACTTTGTTTACCATCTGTACTGGAGTTTCTTATTTTTGTATTCAAGTCAAGCCCACTTTTACTGCCTACTTTGATTCAATTTCTAAACTCTCTTCTTTAATTTTATTTGCCATTCTTTTTTTATGGTATTTGATGTATATTTTCTCTATCAATTTGATTCATTTATAATGGTAAATTTAAAAAAAAAATTATTTTGTTAAACTAATAAATAATTTAAGGGTAAGATATACAAATGATTCCTCGATTATAAGATGTTACTTTGTTGACTTCTTTAATTATTAAAAATTACAACATGGACTTCTAACTATAATGTGTTGCTTTGTTGAGTCCATCGACTATTAAAAGTTACGAAATGATCACTCATGTATTCATATATTCTATATTTGTTCTTTTCTGTTAAAAAAATTAGTGTGTATAAACTAAGCATTAACTTGTTATCTGAGATATGATAAAATCTAATTCTATAACTGTTTGATGTGAATCGTCTCTCGATCTACATGATATCGTCGAGTCAATGCCTGAAAACAACGGAAGTGCAAATAAACACGATTAAAATATAATTTTCTTATATCCTAATTAGCGTATTAACGTCTAACTCAGATGATTGTCAACTTTTAATGGAAAAGAAGAGCTTGGAACATAGCATTAGTCATGTAACCGTTTTGTAACTTTTCATAATCGAGATAATCAACCAACTAACATCCTAAAATTGGAGAATTATTTTATAAGTTTTAATAGTTGAGAGACTCAAAGAAAATACATTGTATAGTTGACGGATCACTTGTATACTTTACCCATAATTTAATTACACTTATTTATCTTAATGATTAAATCTATTATTTTATAAATAAAAACAATTCAACTTTAACATTTAAAGTAAAAAAATGAAAAAATAAAAAAGCCATCACGTATTTGATTAATTGACCTACGACCCCCATAAAAATAACACGTTCAGACGACGTTTTTCACTCCTGCTCCCCTCTCCATATAAAAACAACCTTTCCCTTGAGTTCAAACACAACCAAAGCAAAGGTTAAATTATAAGAGAAAATGGGGAAGGAGGAACTTTACATAACCGTACCCAGTATTTTCCGGTGTCCGATTTCACTGGACCTGATGAAATCTCCTGTCAGCCTCTGTACCGGCGTTACCTACGACCGTTCCAGCATCCAGCAATGGCTCGAATCCGGTCACGACACGTGCCCCGCCACCATGCAAGTTCTTCCCTCCAAGGATTTCATCCCTAACCTTACGCTCCACCGTCTGATCAATCTCTGGATCCAATCTTCTACTCTCCGGCCGGCCTCTAACTCTCCCAGGCTACTTCCGGCGACCTCTGATGTTCAGGCTAAGCTGTTGATGGAGAAGATTGAGAGGCAGTGTTGCGCCGATTCTTTGTCTAGGGTTTCCGAATTCGTGAGCCGATGTGAAGAGAACCGGAGATTTGTTGTAAGATCCGACTGTTTCGTTGAGGTGATCGCGGGAGTTTTGACGAGGAAATGTGTGGAAATCGAAGCTTTGGAAACGGCGCTTGGGATTTTGGATTTGATCTTGAGCGAAAACGGAGTTAAAGATCGGTTAAACAAATTGATTTTGAAAAGCAATCGGGAGAGTCATTTCCTATCGGCGATCGTCTTCATTCTCCAAAACGGAAGCCTCGACTCGAAGGTCAAATCAGTCCGAGTGCTAGACTCACTGGCACTCGACTCAGAATCCAAACGCAGAATCTCCGACTCACAAGACCTTATATCCATCCTTCTCCACCTCCTCCAAACCAACAAGAGCCAATCACTTAACGACGCCGTGGCCTCCATTCTAACCACCATTTCAATAACCAGTTCCATAACGTCCCGCCTGATCGAAAACGGCGTCTTCGAGATCTTATCGAGCTCGATAACCGAAAAGTCATTGAAGTTGTTGGCAACACTCAGCAGTTGCAGTGAAGGCAGGTCAGCGATCAGCTCTAACCCGAAATGCGTGGCGGCGGTCGTCGAGAATCTGTTGAAGGTGTCGAAGACGGCGACGGAGGACGCGGTGGTGGTGTTGTGGAGCGTGTGCTGCTTGAAGGAAGAGGAGAGAGTGAGGGAAGCGGTGGTGAAAGAGAATGGGGTGACGAAGATTCTGGTGATAATGCAAAGAGAAGGGGAAGGGACGGTTAAGATGATGTGCAGGGACTTGGTGAAGGCTCTAAGAGCTGTGTGTAAAGATTGGTGCCTGGGCAGTTATGAAACCAAAACTACCCATATTAGGCCTTGTTGACAATTTTATTCTTTTTTTGGACATAAAATTCATTCACAAAGAGAAACAAGATTGAAAGAATTTTCGCGTTATGTTTGTTAAGGTTACGGATATAACATATGTTATTTTCACAAAAAATATATATAACATATGTTATTAGGATTATTGTAGATACTATGATCGTAATTTTCTAAAGGAGTTGGTTTTCTTTAAAAAAATTGATTTTTATATAAAAAAGATCTAAATAATGAAATAATAACGGAAATAACGGTTCATTATTGTTAGGCTATAGCAGAACTATTGTGTACTTGCTTGCACTATAGTGTAACTAGTAATAGTTAGTTAGCTTAGGCGCCAAAAGTTGTTAGTCTGTTAGCATATTTTGTTAGTTTAACTGACTAGCTCCATCACATATAAAGATGGGGTTCTTGTAAGTGAGTAAACAATGAATTCAATATATCTTTCACTATATACAATTTTCAACATGGTATCTTTCGCCGGTCTTAGGTTCCTTGATTAACATCTGTTGATGCGCGTTCTTGCTTGGTGCTTCATGGAGTCATCCACAAGTATGGGCTTATCTCACAAGAAAATCAATTTAGTTCTTGACGAGATGAACTTCCTCTTGTGGAAGTAACACCTTCTGCTTACGGTGAGGAGTCACCGCCTTGAACGCCTGTTGACTGGAGTGCTGAAGCCACCGCTGGAGACGATCCTTGATGATACTGGTGCAGCTCGTGCCAACGATGCATTTGAGGACTATGTGGCACAGGATAGTGAGCTTGCCTCTTGGCTCCTATCTACCATTAGTCCTCACTTGCTTCCTCACTTTGTGGGTGCTGAATCGACAGCTGCAGTATGGAATGTCGTACAACAACTCTTTACGAGCAGGTCAACGACTGCTGCCATGAGTTTGCACTGCAAGTTATAGTTACTTAAGAAAGACAATGATAGTATGCGGGTGTACCTCACTCGAGTAAAGGAAGTATGTGATTCACTTGCATCGTGTGGTAGTGTTGTTTCACATGTTGGCCATGTTGCAAGCATCTTGAAATGTCTACCCAGGGAGTATCAACCATTTATGGCGGTTATCACCACGATGAAGGAAACATTGTCTCTAGATAGCCTTTACATTGTTCTTTTATATGCTGAAGCACAGTTGGCCGACTTCAATGAGCAGTTTGACTACGTACCTATGGCTGCCAATGTTGCTGAAAGAGAGGAGGTTCATGACTCTTTTGCTAATGGACGACGAGACTCTAAACCTACACATTCGTCGTTTACTAACAGAACTGGTGGTCGAGGTCGAGGGCGATCCAGGATTGATGAGGAGTTTATGTGTGTTACATCTGACTCTCAAACTCACAATGCTCATAAAGGACAGTCTGCTAATGCTCACTATTCAGTTACTGAGACTTCAAGCCTGGGCTGTGAATGTTGCAAAGGTCATTCTCAGGCAGTAGGTAATGTGCAAGTCAATACCGTTTCCAGGTCCAATGATTATCGAGTGGTCGATTCAGGAGCTATGCATCATATCACTTCAGATTTTGCAAATGTCTCGAATTCTGCTGAATTTCGAGGTCCAGGTAAACTTACTGTTGGCAATGGGGTCTATATTGATATTCATAACATTGGCACTACACTAGTTCCTCTTACTTCCTCCTCCGCAAGAACTTTGATCTTGAATGAATTATTGCATGTGCCTCACATAACCAAAAATTTACTTTTGGTCTCTAAGTTTGCTAGGGATAATAAGGTTTACCTTGAATTCCATGCTGAAAAGTGCTTTGTTCATGATGAACTCTCTAAGGCAATCCTACTACAAGGTGAAGAGAAAGGAGGTTTATACACTTTTTTGCTCAACGGTCTTGGTGCAGAAGGTTGAAATGCTGAAGCTCACCTTACAACTACATCCCAGTTTGAACTATGGCATCGACGGTAGGGGTACCCAGCTAGTTTTGCTTTTAGTAGAATTGCTAGAGAACTTGATGTAAAACTTGATGTTGATATTAATAAAACTTGTGTGGCTTGCTTTATGGGCAAAACTCACAAGCTACCATTTTCTTCATCTAATACTCAATATACTGCACCTTTCGAGCTAGTATTCTCAGATCAATGGGGACCTTCTCACGTTACATCAAATGGCTTTTATTATTATGTTACTTTTGTGGATTCCTTTACTCGGTTTACTTGGCTTTATCTACTCAAAGATAAAGCTCAAGATGTTGAAGCATTCAATGTATTTCATAAATTGGTTGCAAATCAATTTGGTGGTTTAATCAAAGCTCTTAAGTCAGTTGGGGTAGAGAATATCGAGTGTTTTCTGCCTTACTTGCCAAATCTGGGATAGTGCATCGATTAACTTGCCCCCACACGTCTGAGCAGAACAAGGTGGTCGAACGCAAGCATCGTCATATTGTTGAATTAGGACTTTTTCTGCTAGCCCAAGCATCCTTGCCTATGTAGTACTGGTCATATGCAATCGTGACTGCTGTTCACTAGATAAATCGTCTCCCCACGGTTATACTTGGAGGGATAACTCCTTACGAGAAGTTGTTTAAGAGAAAACCTGACTATGCTTCACTAAAGGTCTTTGGGTGTCAATGTTTCCCACACCTCAGACCATTTCAGAATAATAAACTATGTTTTCGATCTCAGTCTTGTACATTTCTCGGCGTTAACCCGTAACACAAGGGCTACCAGTGTTTGGCAAGAAATGGTAGAGTTTATATCTCTAGACATGTGGTATTTAATGAAACAAATTTTCCATTTTCATAGAAGGCTGCAGCTTGCTCGTCACATGGTGCACAAAGTTTTCGCTCACAAGACATCCCGATCGTTGCAAATGCAAGGAAGTTGGTTAGTGATGATGTTCCAACTATTCATCAGGATGTTGTATACACTGAAGAGAGTGATGAAGTTGCAGAATAATCATATCAGAATATGTCTGAGTCACATGGTGATACTGCTGGGATCACACCACGTGAAGTGCCAATTGCTACTACTGACTTGGGGTCATAATCTAGATTGTCAGGTACAAATAATGCTGATATGGACAATAGTACAACTCGAGAGCATGAAGAACCGATGTTACCTACTGATGCACCAACTACATCAGTTGCTCTACTGGTAATGGAAAATCATCATTCAATGATGACACGTAGAAAATGTGGAGTCTTCAAACCTAAGTTGTACTATAGTCACTTTGATAGTGAGATACCTTTCAAAGTTCAAGAGGCATTACAATCGGTCGAGTGGAAGGAGGCAGTTCAAGCTGAGGTCGATGAGCTTTAAAGGAACGACACATGTAAGTTAGTCAAACTGCCAGAAGGTCATGTTCCTATTGGATGCAAGTGGTTGTTTAAGCTAAAGCGTAATCCATATGGCTCCATCCATCGCCATAAGGCACGACTGGTTGCAAAAGGCTACTCGTAAATTCCAGGGCATGATTTCCTTGATACGTTCAACCCGATTGTTAAATTATCTTCTCTTAATGCAGTCTTGACGCTGGCAGTATCTAATAACTAGGAGTTGAGGCATATTGATGTTAATAATGCTTTCCTCAATGGGGATCTCACTGAAGACGTGTTCATGCAACAACCGCCAGGATTTGAATTACTGAAGATGGATCCATCATTGTCTGCAAGCTTCAAAAGACATTGTATGGACTGTTCCAGGCACCTAGGAACTGACATGCTAAGCCCCGTGATAGTCTTGTGTAGATAGGGTTTATAACATCTTGAGCAGATACATCACTATTTGTTTGTAAATGATGTGCTGGTGACATATATGCATTAGTATATGTTGATGACATTGTCATCACTGGACACTTATCTTGTGAGATTCAAGAAGTAGTTCGATTACTCAGGGCTAGGTTTTCGCTTAAAGATCTGGGTTCGCTTCGATTTTTCTTATGAATTGAAGTACATCGCTCTCATGGTTGTCTCTTCTTGAATCAGAAATTTTTTTTACTGGAGTTGCTTGAGAAAACCAGCATGGCAGGGGCAGCTGCATGCTCCACGCCAATGGTTCTGGCATCGAAGCTATCAAAAGATGCTGGGGAGTTGTTAACAAATGTGAGTGAATATCGCAACATAGTAGGATCATTGCTCTACCTGTGCCACACTCATCCTGATTTAGCCTACAGTGTTGGAAAGGTGACACAATTTATGTATGCACCACGAGAAACACATTGACTTGCATTCAAGTGTATCATTCGATACTTAGTTGGTACTGTAAGTTATGGTTTAATGTTTCAAGCGAGTGAGGCAGAGTTGACTGTATCTGCCTTTGCAGATGCTGATTTGGGAGCAAGCATAGATGATCGGCGGTCAATCTTTGGCTATGGTGTATTCATTGGCAAATGTCTTCTTGTATGGAGGTCAAAGAAACAGAAAATCGTGTCTCGTTCCACAATGGAGGCTGAGTACAAGAGTCTGGCTGATGCTGCTGCTGAAGTTACTTGGATGAGTTCTTTACTTGTAGACTTAGGGTTTTAACAATGGAGGGAGCCGATGGTTCGGTGTGACGACACATGAGCAGTGGCTATGAGTGCTAATCCCGTGTACCATGCATAGTCGAAGCATATAGATCTTGATATACACTTTGTTTTAGAGAAGGTTATAACTGGCCAATTGAAAGTTAACTACATACCGACTACAAATCAAATAGCAGACGATTTTACAAAGCCTTTGTCAAAATTTGCATTTGAGGAATTTCGTCGTAGTGTGTGTAGTGCCAGGGTTGTAGAGTTGCTTAACAAAACAAGGAAAAGAGGAGAAAAGTAGGGAGAATGTTAGGCTATACCAGAACTATTGTGTACTTGTTTGCACTATAGTGTAACTAGTAATAGTTAGTTAGCTTAGGCGCCAAAAGTTGTTTATTTGTTAGCATATTTTGTTAGTTTAACAGACTAGCTTCATCAGATATAAAGATGTGTGCTTGTAAGTGAGTAAACAATGAATTCAATATATCTTTCACTATATACAGTTTTCAACAGTTATTACAACAATTAGACGATACTGATAAATTACTATCACAATCTATTACTATTGGTGTTATTCGGCTATATACTACTTTTGTTTTCAATAACAGTTTTG